TTTGAAAATATTTCCAAAAATAGGATAGCTAAATTGTGTACAATGTACATGATTTAGTGAAATCGTGTCCATTGAACACGATTTTAGTAGAATCGCGTCCATTGGACGCGAGTCTTGTGTGACGGGAGCCACGTGGGCGATAAAAAATTGTGTACATTGTACACGATTTTGTTAAATCCGTGACTAAATCATATACATTGTACACGATTTCACTACATCAGGTCCCACCCTTTTCTTTTTTTCTTTTTTTTCCTCGATAATACTTTGCTATTTTTTTCCTCGAATGCACTTGTCCAACAAGTTTCCAATATATATAACAATGTGGCGTCAACGTTGTGACCGATGAGTATTACATTTCTTTAATTAATTAATTATGATATTAATTTTTATGTATATGCTAATTTTTATTTTTTTATTTTTGTAGAATTTTTTTGTCAGGGAGGCGCGTTCATCATAGGCACCAAATTCAACCGGCAAGCTCTTAGGCACCAAATTCAGCTGGCAAATTTAAGTTTGCATACTTTCCGAATTCAGCCATAAATTATTATGGTTAATAAATTTTACAAAAAAAAAATTGGGTGAACTCATGTACGTTGTACACGATTTACCTTTCCAACATTGAGAGGAGGCACGCTCGTTGTAGGCGTCAAATTCAGCCAACAAATTTAAGTTTGTATACTTTCTGAATTCAGCCGGCAAATTATTATGGTTAATAAATTTTACCAAAAAACTAAAAAATTTGGATGAACTTGTATCACCTTCCACATGTACATTGTACACGATTTTTGACTTTGACTCCACTACCCTACTTTTGTCAATAGTTTTGAAATTCAGCCTATTTTAGATTTTTTTAATTTTATTTTGTAATTTACGTTAAATTTATAATTTCTTTTTTAATTTTATTATTTGAAAAAATGGTCCTTGAGATGGTTGTGGGCGTCACCATCACGAGCATGCGTGAAAAAAACGGTCTAAATTAGTGGTTTTGAATTTCTGAATTCTGATTGATGGCTCCCTTTAGTTTGTCATTACCTTCCTTTTGCTTTAAAAAAAAAATAATAATCAATAAATAATATTTTCCTTTCTTTTTAGTTTTTATTCAAAATATTCGAAATGACTCAACGTACAATTTGGTTTTTATGTTTTAACTTCAATTCACCTTTTATATATCAAAATTCTTAATTTTGATAATCCCGTCAACAATACTGTTAAATTGTAATAATAATAGGACAAGGTGTATAATTTAAGAATTATAAATTAATTAGCATTAACCATATAATTAACTTAGCGAGATACGTTTAACTTTAACTTTAGGGGCAGTTTGTTTCCTAGAAAGATGCCACCGTTTTGATTTGAGTAATATTTATGAGAATATGTTTGACAATATTTGAATGACTATATTTATTTGGTAAGATTTCGTACGTAATAATATATTAAAATTATCCTTGGCCTTATTGACCAATAGACCAACCGTTGTAACAATTTTGTTTTTATTAATTTATTATTATACTTTTATGTCAATTTAGTTTATGTTGGGTGAGTGTTAGAACGGTAATAAAGGAAGGATTGCACACTAGATTTCAGTTGAAAATAAATTACGATATTGTAACGGTTGACTAAAGTTTATTTTATAACTAAATATAGTATATAAATATAATTGTATATAGTCATTTATAAAAAAAATGATTAAAGAAAAAATATATAGAATAAAAATGAATGACAAAATTGTCAAAAGAGTATGCCCTTAGCAAGAGAATCTTCGAAATTAACGTTACATGATTCATGAAGGCATCGAAAATAGCTTAGATATCTAGCGACTAAATAATGAGATCTAAAAATATTCAAGTATCTAACGTTCAATCAAATAGAGAAATCTTAATGTCTATCCCATAGAATTCCCACAAAACAAGATTTCTTAAATTCTAATGCAACTTGAAAAAAGTTATTGTGGATCAAGCCATATGAGATTGGTAAAGTTTTTGTTTTTATGAAGTAGATATGTTGGACTTGTTTTGTCATATAATACATTTTCAAAAGTGTACTAAAAATAATAAATTTGAATATACTTGAAGAAAATAATAAATTAAATTAATAATATAAAAATAATATACATCTATACCTATGATCAAACTTAAGGTTATTTTATAAAAAGCAGCAATATAACCTTTATGGTAAAATATACTTCTGGACTCTCAATTTTAGATTTAGTTTTTATTTGATGATTATTTATAAATCATCCTTCTTATTTTTTTAGATTTAAATTTAGTTTCAATTCAATTCTTCAAATTTCAAAAAATTACATAATTACCGTTGGTTAACTTTATCATTTTGTTAGGTCAACTAATGGTAGACTCAACTTAGGAACTAATTAGAAACCAAACTTCAAGAACCAATTAAAAATTAAATTCAGACAAAAAAAAATTCCTTTTAAAATGTAATGACCAAATAAAAATTAAATTTAAATCTAGAAAAATGCTGGTTTTTTAAAAGGACCAAATAGAAACAACATTGGAATCTTTAGAAACCAAGTATTTTACCTTTCATATTAAATAGATCTTAATGCTAGTAAGAAAGAAAAGGGAAAACGAACTTAACTAATTCATTAACGATACATTTAATTTTAAAAAATAAATAACAGTATAATTATTTATGACTCGTTTTAACATTCTTGTCTTTGTTTCTTCATTTCTTAAAAAGAAAAACGAATTACATTGCTCCAACATCTATCAACTATGCTAAAACAATCTTAAATTGAAGATGGAAATAAGAAATAAAAAACTTGTTTTAGTTCTTTCTAAAATTTCTATACAAAATGTTTCCAAAAAAAGATAAACAAGAAATGTAATTAATTACAAAATGCTTAAAATTTTTAATAAAATTAAAAACGAAAAAAATGAGAACGTTACCAAAGAGCCTGCCTATCTTATTAGGCTATGCTTGGTTTCAAATTTCAACGAAAGACAATCTTGAATTTTGATTCTTCAAGATAAAAGTAAAATTCACCAAAGTTCAATTTATTAAAATTATTCGTGTTCAAATTCCCCAAGTCCATTCTATCTTGTTTTCTACCAACTTTTAGAAGAATTCTGCAAATAATTCAAATGGTCAGAAATTAGTGTTTCTAAATTTCAATTACCTTTCCTAATATTTTAAGAATGGTCAACAAAAACAAATTTACCTTTGAAAAAAAAATGAAATTATCACATATTAATATTTAATATACAAAAGTCACACAAACAAAAAATGCTAGCCAACTCTACCCTCGGAGATTTAGAAAGAAAAAAATCAATAG